ATCTTCGAACTCACAGAGACCCAATTCTCCTTTTCCACCTGATTCCAGTGTCTCGCATCTTTCTTCGGTTGCTTAGGAGCAACTAAAATGTGAGAATCGCCTCTAGAAGCCGTTACAGAAGATGGCTTAGACTGCATCCCATTAATTGAAATCGAGAGGCTTCTATTTGGACCCCATGCAACTTCTCTAAAGCTAGAAAAATTGGGCTTAGCAAGAGAAGCCCGAGAAGAAGAGAGAGGCTTAAGATTGGACCTGACCTGTCCATCCCTATTCATAGCCCGCGAACCTTCAAGCCCAGATCCATAAGAAGATGAGCGCCTAATCGAATTGGGCCTAAAATGCCCGGCCCTGCCATCAGCCTTCAAGGCACCCTTCACAGGCCCACGTTGGTTAAGCCCTTTCCAACTAGATTCGTCAAGAGAGGAATTTAAATTCCCGACCACCTCACGTGCCAAGGCATGTGCACCCTTAGCTGGATTCCACTCACAACGGGGGGGAAACGTCCTCCAACCACGTGTCCCACTTACCAGGTGTTCCTTCCTACTCGTCTCCGGCGCGTGGAAATGCACTCGTCCCTGTCCCTGCATTCGGCGACTTTGTAGAGTCTTCCTAGGAATCACCGGTTCACGCCCACCACAGAAAGCTGATATGTGAGACGAAAGAGCCCCCTTAGTCGTCACCTCCGAAGAATTGGAAGAACCAGATCTAGCACAAAACTTAGAGATCGGCTCAATAGAAGGGGCGATTTCCTCTGTGAGAGAGATGCGAAAAGCTCGCTGACTGTCCTCCGGAATCACACCACCTTCTTCCTCAGTGATGACGATCCTCTCCGTATCACTCATCTTGACCGCCTCAATGTCCCGGAATCCACCACACAGGTCCCCCACAGCAACGAAAAGTTTTTGACACCCAAGGTGGAGAGGAAGACCAAACACAATAATTCTCCGGCATTTAAACTTCTTTCTCAGCCCAGAACACCCCACCTTGTAGTACCAGTAGTCAATAAACAACTGAGCGTCGCCCCATGTCTTCTTTCCAAAATCAAGAACTTTCACAGCCTCCATGACCGATGGGAAACGAAACATCAAAAGTCCATCCGGCAAAGTAGAGACCCTAACACCAGCCGAGATCGACCAAACCCTCGTAGCCCAATCTTCAATGTCCTCGAGAGACCCCACCTCCCTATCAAATCTCCCAACCAGACAAGCCCTAAGCGTACGCTCGCGAGAAGACGTACTGCGATCATCCACTGAAAAAACGAAATCACCGGAGGAAGAGAAACACTCCACTTCACCCTTCAGATCCAGACGAGGAAGACTAGCAACCTCCAGAAAAGAAGGCCTCTGACCGTTGAGAGCTCTCATGAAAGCCACAAAAAAAACCCCGAATCACCGCAAACACCAACACCAACAGAAAAAGGGAAGAATGAAGGAAATAACAGAGGATTTCAGCGGAGTTTATGACTCCGGTGATTGGTCGGAGTAGTGGACTCCGGCCGCATCTTTGCTATAAGGAAACTTTCTCCTTTGGCACGCAATTTTTTAAAACTTCTCTTCTAGAGGCCTTTTCCTTCAAGAAGTCTCCCTCGATCCAAGTAAGCCCTCAGTTGACATTGATACTTTTGATTCTTTTCCCAATTGTATTCCTATTGATCTTGATGTCCCTATTGCCTATCGTAAGGGTGTTCATAGTTGTACAAAACATCCAATATCTCAGTTTGTATCGTATGATGCCTTATCTCCAACATATCGTGCTTTCATTTTGTGTATTTCCTCTATATCTCTTCCTTCTAGTGTTTCAGATGCTCTCAGTCAAACTCCATGGAAGGAAGCTATGCTGGAAGAGATGAAGGCCCTTGAGAAGAATGGTACTTGGGATATTGTTCCATTACCTAGGGGTAAGAAACCAATAGGCTGCAAATGGGTCTACACAATAAAGTATCATGCAGAAGGAACAATTTAGAGATATAAAGCCTGGTTAGTTGCAAAGGGCTTCAGACCTACGGTATTGATTATCTGGAAACATTTGCTCCAGTTGCCAAAATGAACTCTATACGTGTCCTTTCTTTGGCAGCTAATTTGAATTGGCCTTTACATCAGTTGGATGTTAAGAATGTTTTCCACGTGCTTGGTTTGAGAGGTTCAATACTGCTGTGAAAAGAGTAGGGTACACACAGAGTCAGGCAAATCATACTCTCTTCATCAGTCACCACGTGCTTGGTTTGAGAGGTTCAACACTGCTGTGAAAAGAGTAGGGTACACACACAGTCAGGCAAATCATATTCTCTTCATCAAGAAGTACCAGGGTTGCACCACTACCCTTATTGTATATGTTGATATTGTGTTATCAATGAAAATGATCCAGAAGAGATTCATCGAATGAAGTCATTCTTGGGGACATAGTTCGAGGTTTAAGATCTCGGATCATTGAGATACTTTCTTGGCATCGAGGTGTGCAGATTGAAGAAAGGGGTGTTCATTTCTTAACGGAAGTATGTGTTAGATTTGTTGGCTGAAACAGGCAAGCTTGGAGCTAGACCTATTGATATTCCCATTTAGCATAATCGTAGGCTCAGTGATGTAGATGGAGACCCATTAGACGATGTGGGGAGATTTCAGTGATTGGTTAGGAGACTGATTTACCTATCTCTCACGCGTCCAGATATTGCCTACGCTGTTAGTGTTTTTAGTCAGTTTATGCATGCTCCACGTACACCTCACCTTGAGGTAGCTCATCATGTTCTTTGCTACCTCAAGGGTTCACCTGGTAAGGGGATATTGTTTGGCCGTCTTGGCCACTTGCGTGTTAAAGCCTATGCTGATGCTGATTAGGCAAGGTCTGTGACAGATCAATGATCTACTTTAGGATATTGCACATTTGGTGGAGGTAGTCTTGTTTCATGGCGAAGCAAGAAACAATCTGTAGTAGCTAGATTTAATGCAGAGGCTGAGTTCAGATCCATGGCACATGGAGTTTGTGAGTTGTTATGGCTACGAACCAAGGTTGTCAAAATCGAGATTTTATGCGTAATCATTTTGGACTCCGTAAAATCAGAATCGTAGAATCGGATCGTGAATCGTAACCAAATTGTGAAAAAACAATTGAAACTAACTTCTTAAACAATAAGAGCTGTAAAATATAACAAAAATAAGGCCAAAACGCACAATATTACATATATTCCAAAGTTCGAATATCAATAATAGAGAATGGAGCTCAAAATAACATGAGTTTACAAATCTCAAATCCTAACTCAACCATCTCCAAAGTTAGAAACTAAAATTACATATGAAAAGGAAATTTATTTATTTATTTTTTTTCCGAAAAGTGAAGAAATAAAAAAGACCTTTTTGTCCACCAATCCAAGTGTTACGGTGTATGTGACCTTATTAGTCACAAGAATGAAATTAATCAAGAGTTAGCACAACAAAATTAATGAACCACATATTAACTCGATCTCATTATACTATCAGTTTAGACTACAAGATTATATACCTCTGCTGGAATATCCGGCAAGTCTTCTAAGCTTTTAAATTATTTTTAATTTTTAATATATACAATAAGCCTTCATTAAAAAAAAAAAAGAAAAATTAGTCAAATGAAAATATTGATCATGAAACCAAAATTTGCCTAAACCTGTTAGCCACAAGTATGCATCGATATAATTGATCATTTTAATTTTTTATAATTAAACACAAAAATATATTATGGAACATCGACGTGCATGGTAAAAATAATTGATATATATACAAATATATATTTCTTTTTCTGCCACTAATGAAAAATAATTGATATTGATGTGACTTAATCCTAACCTTTTAGCCATGTGTATGCATCTTTGAGATATAATTGATCTTTTTAATTTTTTATAATTAAACACAAATATATTATGGAACATCGACCTACATGGTAAAAATAATTGATATATATACATATATATATTTCATTTTCTGCCACTAATGAAAAATAATTTATCTTTTATAGAATAAATATTTAACTTTGTATACTATACTTGGGCCAAGCCTCTTTTATTTTGTAGCCCAGAAGAAACCAACCCAAAAATAAAGGAACCAGCCCAAAAATAAAAGCCCAAACAACCAATTTTGTAGAATCGTGTAGAATCGTACGATTCTACCATTCTACTCCCGATTCTAAACGATTTTGCAAGATTTGGATCGATTTTGGATTTTGGACTCAAAATCGGGATTTTGACAACCATGCTACGAACGATGTTGGGTGAGTTGGGTTATCCTATTCACGAGTTAATGAAGTTGTATTATGACAACAAGGCTGCTATTAGCATTGCCCATAATCCATTTCAACATGACAAGACAAAGCACATCGAAGTCGATCGGCACTTCATCAAGGAAAAACTTCGTCTTGGGCTGATTTGTACTCCATACATCAACACATGATCAGGTTGATGATGTTTTGACTAAGGGTGTGAGTAAGACTTGCTTGCAAAATATGTTAGTCAAGCTAGGCATGATAGATATCTTTGCACCAGCTTGAGGGGGAGTGTTGTTGGTGCTTTGTGTAATTTTTAAAACTTAATATTATAAATATAATGTGGTGGAATGATGAAAGTATTGTTTCATTCTTTCTCTCTTTCCCCATCTCTCTCTCTTTTTCTCTCATCCTTTGTCTTTTCTTTTTCTTCTTCTTCTTATACTTTACTCTTTGATTTGATTATCTCTTAAAGTCAACAAATACATATTACGAAGTTATTAATTCATAGATTATCACATGATATATGACAAATTGATGTTCAAGGATGCATTACATTGTCAAATGATGGCCTGTATAGTATAACTGAAGTATCGAAGACAACTTCTTGTTGTGTCCCAAATATTTAGATCCCTCTTTCCCTCTCTACAACTTTTAGTGCCATCCCTTCCAAAGCAGAGTAGTTAAAGAATTATTTTTCATATTTTCTTTTGCTAAGAAATATGTTATTTTCGTATGTGTGAAGCTCTTCTGTTCCTTATTTTCTGGTTATGTAGGGGGCATGGTTCTTCACAAGGGGGAAATAGCTGAAATGAGGACCGGAGAAGGAAAGACCCTGGTTGCTATATTACCAGCTTATTTGAATGCGTTAAACGGGAAAGGAGTTCATGTTGTCACTGTCAATGATTATCTGGCACGGCGAGATTGTGAGTGGGTCGGTCAAGTTCCCAGGTTTCTTGGATTGAAGGTTGGCTTAATCCAACGTATGTCTCATTCTTTATTTATATGATATCTGTTCATTAAGATTGATATATGATCATGTCCAATTAGTTGGAGATAAATCATCTCAGTGCTTGTAGGTATGTATTTCATGCCTCAAGATTTTTTACAGTTCAAAAGGCCATTGTTTGATTATGATCTCATTACGTAGACCTCCCTCCCCTCTCTCTTTCCATGGAACTTTCAAAAGGTGCAATCTTTAAGAGGTTCTGTCAATTTACTAAAAAATTCATTTTGAATGATTCTATATTCTGGTTAAGTAGAGACATAGACTGTGTTACCACACTCTCCTATTTCTCGAGTCTTAATGAATCCGTGTCGACAGGACATGGGCATGGGATCTGTAGTTAGAACATGTACCTAAATCAGATGAATGTATTTTCTAATTTTGATGATCAAAGAATGATAAAAAAAAAAACACAAATTTGAGAACAAAGAGAGGTTTCCTACTTCAGATGTATACGAAATCTCTCTCTCTCTCTCTCTCTCCCCCCCACACACACACTATTCCATATAATTTCAACTATTATTAAGTATATTTTTAAAGGATAATGACACGACACAGTACACTTTAATATAACATATTCATGTTTAGAGTTTGCAAGATGTGTCCACGTATCCAACACTTAAGTCATATACCCCGCACCTGATACATGTACCCGAGTACAGGTAATATAGGATGGAGACCGAAGTCAGTTATTTCAAAAACACTTTGTCGGGTTAATGATGTCCATATGAGTTGCCATTCTTGCTAATTGAGCTCTGAGCCGTTGCCGATCATCCATAACACAACCTTTAGCAAACTGATTTGTTGCCACGATGTGACACCCTATTTTTGCAAATCTTATTTAATTTTTGTTTGAGGGAAAAATTGTAGCACAAGCTTGGAGTTTTTTACGGAGATTCCTTTTTGTTCGTGTGATGTTGTGGCCCAATTTTTTTCTCGGCCCTGGTCACAACAGTGAGCTTGCGTGTCATGGACCCTGTTTAGAACTCTCTTGTAGTAGCTCATTATATAAGGGTGTTTAGGCTTTGGAACGGGTAATGAGAGAGCACTGAAAATCGCAAGAAAGAGAGCGAGAGTGAGAGTTAGGGTTTGGGGGCTGAAACTTGTAATTTCCTGATTTTCCCATAGTGAAAAATTTTGCGGGATCTTCACCACGGACGTAGGCACAACTTGTGCTGAACCACATAAATTTGTGTTCTGGCGTGATTCTTGGTTTGCTGCGCTTGTCGTAACAGTTCAGAAAATAGCATTATTGTGTATGGGTGTGTGTGTGAATGATTTCTATTATATATATATATATATTTCTTTTTTTTTTTTTAAAAATAGAAGTTATCGTTTATAGTTTGATTTGGGACATAAGAAATTATATTTCTTGTTTTTCAAGGAGGTTAGCTTAGGTTTCTGTACTAGATAAGTAGGTTATTACTTGAGACTTATGAGGAGATGTTGCCTCATGTCAGATTCAATGCATGAGGGAGATATGAGTATGAAGTTTCATAGTGTTTGTAGAGATGTGAGGGGAAGAGGCTGAGAATACTAGGGAGTAGGGAAGCAAATATTGATTTAGGACTTGGGAAATGGGGGTGTGCATGGAAAAGGACGTTGGTTCAGGGCTTGGATACCTTTGAGCAAGGAGGTGGTGATTGTGAGATTAGAATTGATGTTGATTTTTGCTAATAAGTTTTCTGTACTATATTTTCTTTGCAATATATAAAGGATTATCTCTTCTCATCCGCTAACTAGGGTCAGTTTTACCATTAGGCCGTTAAGGCTATTGCATAATGACCTGTGGAAAAGGCCCTATTAGATTTCTTTAATATGGCCCATGACCCCATTAAGCTTCTTTAATGTGGGCTCACTGTAGGTTTTCTTTATTATATAATGTAGTCTCTAATTTTTTTTTTTATGTGGACCTGTAAAATAGATTGAATTTAAAGTTTCCTTTCTATTGCTCTTTAAAGTATCCTGTTCTTAAACATTCCCGTTGCTATATTTTTTTATTATTATTTTTTAAATCTCAAAAATTGAGGAAAATGGGTTTAAAATAATAGCTATAAAGAGTTTATAAATGTTATTTAAATTACTATTTCAACAATCAAAAAGATCTTCTTTAGAATTTTTCTCAAATGAAAATTGAATATTTTGATGCAATGAATGATCATTGATGCATGGTGATTGAAGGACTTTTCATCTTATATTTAGTTCTATGTAATCTAAAAGCTATTTATGCTTGTACTGTTTTATTTATGTGAGAGTGAATGTGCTCCAAAATTATTGAAGAGAGTTTTTGGAAGTTTATATGTTCAAAATATGTCTTAATTTTTTTTTGTATTTTTCACCGGTTTTAGACGTGCTCATAGTGTATTTTGTGAATTCTTGGAATGGTTAAATATCCTCAGGTATTATTGTAAGAGGATACTTCCCTTTTCAGGAAAGTAGGGAGAGGATGAAGCCGCTGTTGTCCTAAGCAAGAGGCAGCCTTGGGCTAGGAAAGGTCATGACTGCATTGTGGGAAATGAAGTCTACCTGCAGTGTAATCCCAAGATCTGAACATACTGCTAAGTGTCGCAGCCAAGGCAGTTTTGTGCGTTAACATTGGTCTTGTCGCGTATGGTTGCCATTTGGCTTAAGAAGACGTGGATGATGTTTATTCGAGGACAGAAGAGCAAAATGATTACTGTGGGCTGTTTTGGTGACCACATTACTGTGTTGCAATCACAATTAGTCAGCTGCATAGTACCCCATTGGATTATGGGTTTGTCAAGGCATGGAGGCTTATATTAGGGGTTAGTTGGGATCGGGTAAGTATAGGGACGGATCTAGGAATTCATATGAGGGGGGGCAAATTTATATAGAGGGTTTTTTTTCATAATTTCAGTGGGTGCAATTTCAAAATTTTATGGGTATAAATGCAAAAAAATATAAATTTAGGGGTATAAAATGAAATAATAAAAAATTTCAGTGGGGGCCCCCCATTGAGCCCTTCACAGATCCATGCTTGGGTAAGTAAACGGGTGAATTTGGCGATGCTGCTTTGGTCGCTGACCACCTTGCAACTGTCCACGTTTTGGCTAAAACGTTAAAAGATGAGATACTCACCAGCATTAACTAATTGATATTCCAGTTCTTGGCATGTGAGAAAACAATATAAAAGGGCATGCCAGTTTGTGGAAAAGGGATAACAAGAAGTTCATAACAGTTATGCCCCGTTTACTCTCTCTCTACTTTCTCCCACCCATCTTCTTCCCCAACATTCCCATCCCAGGAGTTGTGAAACACTCCATTATTCGTTAAAACCCTTCTTCATAGAAAATCCAGACTCACAATTTCCATTCTCATTGATCCAGCGTAGGATTTTAATTTTAACAATCTTGCTTAAAATATTATTGCTTCATATATTTGTTTACTTTCATTACTATTTTGTGATTGAAACTTAGATGCGTATGTACTTTATGGAACAACAAGTGGTATCTGAGATTTATAACCAAACAAGTTTTACAAAGAGAACGTAGAGGATCTCGCCACCCCCTTAGTCTTTCTTTTGCATTACCACCATGAACCGTCCCCATTGTTGTTAAATGACCCTAACTACCACATAGAGTACAACCCAGTGGTATCTCTTCCACCTCACAAGGTAGAAGGTCAGGGTTCAACTCTCCAACTTAGCCACTTCACCGAAACAAGAGCAGATGCACCTATCCGTTGAAGGCGTTGATGCCTGTTTTGTTGAAGGTACATAGGGGCAAATGGGTGTGTGAATTTCTTGTCAAGGAAAAAACAAGAAAAAAAAAATGCCACCTAAGTGCCTCCAACCACCATCCAGTATAATTACACCACTTAACTGTTGGTTGGGTTCAAGAAAAAATAGAGGCTTTGGAGGATGTGTAGGGACGGTGTTTACATGCCTTTGGGCTTTCTATTGAGCCCTTTCTTTTCCTTCTTTTCCCTCCTTGTCTTGCTCGTCAATACCATAGTCTGAATCTGTCAGGCTGGTTCTGCCACTCTTTCTCTATTTTCTCTCGCTCTTAACTTTGTTTTTGATCCACAATTTGATCTGACCTGATGTATTGTGCTTTGGCTACAGACTGCCATTGATATACATATGTTAATTACCTCCAATTCCCTTAATTAAATCTCATGTGAGATGCACATGAATTTTGCCATCCAAATCAATTTTGGAGGCTGACGGAGGGTTTCCATTGCACTGCAAATAGAAGTCCAGGGTCACATTTATTAAAATTAAAAGTTTTGGGATCAAAGTTAAGTTCATATCAACTTTGGGTAGTGAAAAGTATAATTGCCCTATTTATTGTATGAGATCTTAAGCTTTACATTTCTACATATTCAATATTGTCATTTCCCTTAGGCTGATTTCTTTTGTTTGTTTCTTGTTTTTTACAGCTGACCATTTATCTTGTTTCTTCAATCTTGATTCAGTTATTTGCCTCTTATCTCTGCTCCCTGAGTATAAATGATTTACATTCCTGAAAATATTAAAATCATCTGCAGTAACTATAATGTTCTTATACAATTTCGTTAGGGGTGGCAAATGGGCGGGTTGGGTTGGATTTGTGCCGGGGCAAATATGGGTTGTGGCCCATATTCAACCCGCTCTTAGCGGGTTGAATGCGGGTTGGGTCAAAATGGTCCGGGTCAACCCGTCATGCCCACCGACCAGTTTTGGGGAAAAAATTTGTTATTATTTTGGATAATTTTATCATTGTATTTTTTGATTTTAGATGGATAAAAGCTTGTAAAAATATGTATGGATAACGTAAATCCCTCAATTTATTTTGAAAATTCTATAATGTGCTTTGTTTGAAACAATAAAGTTAGGATTTTAGTGAAATATAAATTATAATTAAAGTTTAGAAGAACCTAGGTAGAAAAAACTAAGTTACAACATTGCAACTAAAAATTGAGAAATAAAAGGGGAATACAATTAAAAATAAAAGGGTAGTGATATTGATGCTCCAAAAACATACTAAGGCACTCCAACCTTATTTTTACAAAATAAAAGGTCAAAAGGGCCCCTTATCTCCATGTCTCCAGTACTGTATCAATTCCGATCGATCTCTATGCCCAAACAAAAGCTATTTATCCAGCCATCAATGCTTTCTTTTATTTACCCAAAAAAGTGTCTTGTTTTCGTTTCTCCCTTCCTGGGCAATTCTATCACTTTCCTCTCCTCTATTATGCCACTGTCACATGTATTAAGAGTTTGTAGAAGAAAATTTTGTAAATGATAGCAGTTTCATACAATATGAAATTTGGAGTTGACATTTAAATTTCAAATTTTTTCTTTTCTTTCTTGTGGTACAAAGTTTTTGCAAAAATGCCGATTTCACTCTCAACTCTCTGGAGGGTGAGAAGTTCTCTTTAATTGATAATCTTATAATCTACTGATAAGCCTAAACTTCACTAGCAAAGAACAGCTCAAAGACCAACAACAATGACCATCTTATCATCCATGACAGTGCTGATTCAATTCCATCAGTTCCAGATCTTCAAGGACAACCTCCGCATAACACTGTTTGGGTTCTACAACTTTACACCACTTATTATCTTTCCACTGGATTCGCATCAAAGATCAATGGGGTCAATCTCTGACGCATTCAGGAAGATGGCTTCTTCTGCGCCATTGATGCCAGCGGCAAACAAGCTGTAATCTGTCGGGGCAAGAATAACACCAGTTACGTCACTTCATCTTCATCATCATCGTCAAACCCAACTGTCTATTCCACCAACATTCCGCCAATGCCTGCTCTCTCTCTGGCGGTAACAGCTTTATGTGAGGCATTTTGGCGAACACTTAACAACCCTATTGCTGGAATTTGATTGGTTCAGGCACTGTTTTTGCCCCCTCTGATCTTCAGAACCACCGCTTAGTTGCATATCGCCACCGGTAAGAATCATGACTCTATGGTAAAAAGTTCGATAGTGAGAAGGGTTGATTGTGGAGGACACAGAAGAAGAAAGATATTTGGAAATATCAATTAGCTTTGGTTAAGAAGAGATTAGAAGAAGAAAGAGAGAGAGAGAGGAGGATGGCTGATGATACCTGTAATGGAGTTTATATATTCAAATAGATGTTAGGGGCACTTTTGTCATTTTAGTTTTATATGAACATGGTGGAGCGCCTCAGTATGTTTTTGGAATGCCAATATCACTACCCAAAAAAAAATCTATAGATAATTTAAAAGAATATTTTTCACTCTTGATTGTCATGACTCGTGAGAAACAGATGGGTATAGAAAATGTGAAGAAATTAAGAGGGTGGGGTTTGGAATGGGGTTTTGATGAGATTATTTTGGAATTGTAAAGAACAACTTGAGTCCAAGAATCCACTATTTGTATAGCTGCTGTTTGGAGGCATTAGTTTGCATTTTTTTTTTTTCACGGAAATTAAGCAAATTGTATATATGTGCAAATGTTAGTCTATAGCATGAGTTTTGGGCATATATTTCAAAAGAGGCCCAGCAAGCCTTGTTGGCATAAGAACATTAGCAAAAGATCAAGGCCTGACTTAGAAGGCCCAGACAACCTGCTTAAGCAAAATGGTCGTTGGCTATAACAACTAATAACCTTTTAGAGAATTTTAGAGAGAGAAAGCAGATGAGAGAGAGAGAATCTTAGAGAGAGAATTTTATAGAGACAGAGTGGGAAAGGCAGAGATTGAATCTGAGATAATGTGAGAGAGTTTTAGAGAGAGAGAAGAGGTGAACTTGGGTCAAATAGAGGAGGTGAATGTGGGTCTCTTATATAATGGGTGAAATATGGGTGACCCATATTCAGCCCATTCCCTCTATAACAATGGGTTGAATATGGATCACCCATTTTGATCCGTATTTTAAAATGGTTCACCCATATCCAGTTTAAAGCGGGCGGATATTGGCAGGTTGATGGGTTATGAACCATTTTGCCACCCCTAAATTTCGTCATTGATTTACTTATTATTTCAATATTTTCACATTAGTGCAATAGATTAGTTGCATGTCATCGTGTTAGTTGGGTCATGTTAGTTGGGTTCATTGTTATGGATTACAGAATTTCATTGTCAGAGTTGGTTCATATTTAAGCCTCTGATTTTTGTTTTAGATGCTGGCTTCTGAATGTAAAATATCACACTGTACTCTAACAACGGGGTGATTATGTTGGCAGAGAATATGACAAGTGAACAGCGGAGGGAAAATTACTTAAGTGACATCACCTACGTCACCAATAGTGAGCTTGGTTTTGATTACTTGAGAGATAATCTTGCCACGGAAAGTAAAGTTTGTGCTATGCGAATTCTTTTAGTAAACATTATTGTATACTCTTATTTCCTTTATTTAATTTTAGACCTTGCTTAATGCCATTACCATCCTGACTCACTATATTCTGGTCTGCAGAGTGTTGATGAGCTTGTCTTGAGGGGTTTCAATTATTGTGTAATTGATGAGGTCGATTCCATCCTTATCGATGAAGCAAGAACTCCTCTCATCATATCGGGACCTGCCGAAAAACCAAGTGATCGATACTATAAAGCTGCTAAGATAGCCGCTGCCTTTGAACGAGATATACATTACACTGTAAGAAATTATATTAGAGGTGATTTTCTTTTAAATTAAATTAACTGGAATCAAGCTAGTGCTTAGTGATCGATTTTTGTTATTAGATTAGTCCTCGGTTTATTTTGGTTATTGAACATCAAACTTTCTTAGTAATTGGTGAAATATGCAAAATGGAGTCCTTTTGGCCATTATATGACTTGAGCTACTTGAAACTATTGTCCTTGCGAGTGTTATATGAAGTGATCTCAAGTAGTTTAATATATGTTATTGGCTCTCAGATGGTTTATTTAGGGTAAGACTGTGTGCAGCCACTGACCCTTAATCTTATTTGAAATTTGTAGTCATCAAATTTTCTTGATCCAAAGGTTGACAACTGTATATTACATGTAAAGCATAAAACACTGAGTTTTATTTCTCTCTCAGTAAATAATACTTGTCCATTTTCTTGTAATGAGCGGTCAGAAGAAAACCTTTTTTTGTTTTTTTAAATTTTTTCTCCCCCTTTTCTCTACCAGTCTTGTAACCTTCGCTTAGAAGTTAAGACCCAAAGTCACCAAGGCAGAGTTAGACCAGTAGTAGAGAACATGTTTGCTCTTAACTCACCAAGATTGTTGTTGCAGGTTGATGAGAAGCAGAAAACTGTTCTACTTAAGGAACAGGGTTATGCAGATGCTGAAGAAATCCTAGATGTAAAAGATTTATATGATCCACGGGAACAGTGGGCATCTTATGTTCTGAATGCAATCAAAGCAAAAGAACTTTTCCTTAGAGATGTGAACTACATTATCCGTGGCAAGGAGGTCCTAATAGTGGATGAGTTTACTGGTCGAGTTATGCAGGTGATTCTGTTTATCTAAGTTGTAGTTTGAGTGGAAAAGATAATCATATTGACTCGTTTATGTTTCTTGTCATATTCAGCTGAACTCAGCAAAACCTTGTCTCAACAATATGAGATTTCTCTATGTATCCCATTTTGTGTTTCTGTTCTTGCTAGGTTAATAACTTCAATAAAACCACACCATATGCTACCATTATTCCGTTACTATCTCAATCGACGAGTATTTTATATTCCCTTCCACCTATGTTATTTTCATCGTGAACCATGTCTTCCTCATTGGTGCATTTGGAGCAGTTATTCATCTTCCAGCATATGATTAAAGTATTAGTCAGTTTTCTCTCATTTTGTCACCAGTGAGTGTTACTTCCACCATGTCAGGAAATTATTTATGTCTAATACTATCCTTTTTTGTCTTACCACACATCCATGTCAAGTTGTCAACATCCACATTGTGGACTTACCCATTTTATGACCATGTTTCTTTGCCTTCCATATTTCTTTGGACATGACCAAACTATTTTAGTTGGCTTTTCCTGTATTTATCTCCAATCAAGGCCATTTCTAGCTTTTTTGATGCACAATTTGTTCATTTTTTTTAACTAATTATCCACCCTAACAAATCATCTTGGCTATTTTTCTTTTTCATTTTCTTATCATATACTAATTTCACAATGTTTTCCAATTCTGGACCCATTTTAATTTTGTTTGCCTGCTTTTGCTGTGCAGTTAGCAAAATTTACCGTAATGCTGGATAAAATGATTATTTCTAGGGAACTACAAAAAATGATTATCTGAAGGGTTCTTTTATTCTTTAAGCTTCGGTTCTATTTGTTCACTAGAAAGTTCTGGGAAAATAAAATATTATCTTCAGGCTATTAGTTTTTATTTTTTATTTGAGGAAATTCAGGTTATTGAAGAAAATTTCCCAAAATGGGGGGAAGGATGGAAAAAAAATCTCAGAATTTTCTATTTCCAAGTTAGAGACACAATTCCTTTAAATGAAAACCTACCTATCATTTTTGAGTGGAACATAAATCAAGTTGCCAACCTAGACATAAAAAGTAAAATAAGATATAAAAATCTAAAAAAATAAAATTTATATTGTTAACCGAGATACAATACTTAGGAAAGGGTTATATTTCTGTCATCGCTACACCCATGTCTTTATATTAGTTAGAAATATAATTTACAATAATTACGTGGGCAAATCTCACTAATTATGCCTACTAATTATTACAATTATTACGTGGTCAAATCCCACAAATTACGCCCCCAAATCCCATGATTTTAGGCTTAACATATCTTGGCTAACACAAACCACCAACAATGCCTTTTCAAACCATTTTTGAATGGGTGGTGACGAATTTGCAACGCCCTCGTTGCGGTCGAACCACCCTGGCTCTAATACCAAGAAGAAATACAAGAAAAATATTAAAAGGCTTGAATGAGAAATAATCACACATTCATGGGCTCACAACTATGGTCTTTGTATACTAAAAAGAGCACATGTTATATTACAAAAAAAATGAAACGTGATAAAATCACTGCATATCCTATGCCTAGATATATGTGTAAATAAGTTCAAATCCCATGATTCTAACCTATCATATCTTAATATGGTAAGTTACATTCATGATTCTAACCTATCATATCTCGACTAATACTTTTCCTCAATTTGGTGCATGGATATCTAAGACACCTAACTTGGACAATGCATTCTCAAACTTGGTCTTCATAAACATATAGCCAATGACTATGTTTGGCTACTTTGAATGGACAACCCAAAACATAACTATGGTGTTATCTCCAATCCACCGTGGATATGTCTTATCTAACTGAGTTGGTGTCTCCTCAGACCATAAACCATCAACAATGTCTCCTCATACCATAAACAGTCAATAATGTCTCCTCAAGCCATTTCCCTTCATACACATGTTTAAAATATTTAGATGGAAGAATCAACAATGTCACCTAAGACCATAAATCATCAATAATGTCTCCTCAGACCATTTCCCTTCATACACATGTTTAAAATATTTAGATGAAAGAATCAAGGGTTAATTTCACTGACACCCCCTCAGGTTTGGTCAAATATCACCCTCGAACATCTTTCGAAATTAACTATCATTCAGACTCCAATTTTCTTTTCCGTTACTTTTTCCGTTAAAAAGGTGCAAAATGACAATTTTATCCCTTTTTTTCTAATCTATTTTAATCCAAAATATCAAAATCCTAAAATGACCAAATTGCCCTCATTTATTACTCTGTAACCCCCCAAAACTCTTCATCTCAATCTTTTGCTGCCAATTTGTAGTATCTCTCTACACACACACACACACACACACACATATAATATAAATATATATAATATTATATTATATATATATATTTATTTATATAAATAAATATATATATAATATAATATAAATATTATATATAATCTATATATAATATAATATTATATAATCTATATATAAATTTATATATATTCTATATATAATATTATATATAGATTTAACAAACACAATAATTGATCGCGAATTTCGATCTTGGACGATGCAGGCGCCGTCATAAATCGCTTTATTTCTTCTACTTATCATCTCTCCAGAACCCCCAATTGACCAAACTTGAAGCCTTATATATATATATATATATATATATATATATATATAAGGTTGCAATGAGACTTTTTGATGGGTCTCGGTTGGATCAGAACGTAGCTTTGGTTTCAGTTGGACATCTATTTACTCAGCAAGGAGCTTTGGTTTTGTCTGTCTCACCGATTTGGGTCTTTTGAAATTTACAGATTTTGGGTCTATTGAAACTCAACTGATTTGGGTATGTTGAAGCTCACCGATTTTGAGTCTGTTGAAACTCGCCGATTTTGGGTCTAACTGAGGCTCCTTTCTTGCCGGTAGTAAGGAAGAATAAGAAAAGAAAAGAAAAGAAAATAAAATAAAAAGAAAAGAAAAAAGAAAAAAAAAAAGACAAAAAGAAAAAGACATGTATATAAAGACGAAAATGAGGAGAAAGTTGGTTGGTGTACATGATAAGAAATTTTCATATATATATATATATATATATATATTTCTCATCATGACCAACTAAATAATAATTATAAATTTATAATTATTCTAATTATAAATTTATAATTATTCTTTATATATATATATATATATATATAAAGAATAATTTTTAAAAAATAATTATAAATTTATAATTATAAATTGGTTGGTGTACATAATGAGAAATATATATATATATAATAATTTTAAATTTATATAATGAAGGTAAAACGGTATTCAAGTCATTTCAACCCTTTTTTAAGTCAACAGATAATTAGAAGGGTAACAATGTTATTTTACATGTAAAAAGGTATCTGGCATATTTGAAAAGTAACTTTGGGGGTGTAAGTGAAAAACGGACCAAACGTTTGTAATTTATAATTATAAATTGGTTGGTGTACATAATGAGAAATATATATATATATATAATAATTTTAAATTTATATAATGAAGGTAAAACGGTATTCAAGTCATTTCACCCCTTTTTTAAGTCAACAGATAATTAGAAGGGTAACAATGTCATTTTACATGTAAAAAGGTATCTGACATATTTGAAAAGTAACTTTGGGGGTGTAAGTGAAAAACGGACCAAACGTTTGTAATGCAAGTGATAGTTTTTTTCGAAAGATGTTTTAATGTGATATTTGGCCAAACCTGAGGGGGTGTCAGTGAAATTAACCCAAGAATCAACAATGTCTTTTCCGACTATAAATAATCAACAATGTCTCCTCAGACCATTCCCCTATACACATGTTTAAAAATATGTAGATGGAAGAATCACAAATGTTTCCTTAGACCACAAACCATCAACAATGTGTCCTCACACCATTCCTGAATTGGTGGTGTCGAACTCGCAACGCCCTAGTTGCGGTTAGACCACCTGGTTTTGATACCAAGAAGAAATACTAGAGAAATATGTAAAGGCTTCAATGAGAATTAATCACACATTCACAGGCTCACAACTATGACATTTATTGATGCCGCCTTACCAGGATGACTTTCATGTTAGCTGTTGTTTTTGGTTTTCTTGTGAGCAAGACCCTAGTGGAGGAATGCTAAGGACGGTCGCCTTAGCGAGTCTCCATTCCCAGTCGTTGTTTTCAATGGCTGTATACCTCATTAATTGCAATATTTCCTACTTTTATGGAACATTAAAACTTAACATTTTAAGACAAAATTTCCCCTTCTTTTCATATATGTATATAACATACAACTAACCTCACATGCATGATTTTTTTTTTTTCCAATTGTCTTTAACTATTTATATATACGCATATATATACTTCATATGAATTCACGTAATTCTTACTTTGGATAGTTTCTTTATATGTGTGTGTATATATATATATATTAAATTATATGTGTGTGTGTATATATATATATATTAAATGTGATTCTTCATGGAAAGTTTTAACTGAGTAAAATTATGAAATTGAGTATAAGTTGAAGTAAAATTGTGAAATTGAGTTTTAGTTATTTTGTGAGAGAGATGAATATGGTTTGGTAAAAAAAAGAGGGAGAGTTAGGTATTGATAAAAAAATAAAAGTTGAAAGATATGGATGCATGTATGTGTATATGTGTGTGTGTATACACACACACACACACACAAATACGTAAAGACAAGCAGAGAAAAAAAAAAAAAAAGAACTGAAAAAAAGAAAGAAAGGTCCTGGAAAAGAATGCACATGGAAAGATTTAGCTACACACACACACACACACACACACACGATTCTGTTAGTAGATATGATAGCCACGATTTATGGAATGACTCACCGTATTAGCAGAGATTTGATTATGCTATAGAATATGCTGTGATTTGATTTAGATATGATTTAATTTCCTTTCTTGTAATATGAGCATTAGCTCTTTTTATCTATAAATACTAGAGCTGTAAGCCTTTACACAATTCTCTCATTGTTCTTCTTTTTATATTTATACTTGGTATCAAAGCCAGGGTGGTGCCGAACTTGCAACGACTGCAATGAGGGCATTGCAAGTTCGGCACCACCCATTCGGGAATGGTCTAAGGTGATATCGTCCATCCGGGAGGTGTCAGGTAGGCAGGTTGGTCCGACCTCAATGAGGGCGTTGCGAGTTTGGCACCACCTATTCAGAAATGGTCGGAGAAGACATAGTTGTTTCTTTTTATGGTTTGAGGAGACATTATTGATTTTGTCATCTACATTGTTTAAACATATGTATGAAGTGGAATGGTCTGAGGAGACATTGTTGATTCTTCCATCTACATGCTTTAAACATGTGTATGAAGGGAAATAGTCGGAGGAGACATTGTTGGTTGTTTACGGTCTAAGGAGACATGATTAGTTGTTTATGGTCTGAGGAGACATTTTTGATTTGTTGATCGGTACTTCATCTGAGAGAAAATCATTGCTAGTTAGATTTGCACTCCATTTGTCACAATCTCTCAGCAGCTTGCAGACACTCTTACAAAGGGTGTCAACAAGATTGTGTTTGAGAATGCATTGTCCAAGTTGGGCGTTTCAGATATTCACGCACTAACTTGAGGGGGAGTGTTAGCAGATATGATAACTACGATTTATGGAATGACTTACCGTATTAGCAGATATTTGATTATGCTATTGAATATGTTATAGAATATGCCATAGAATATGCTGTGATTTAATTTAGATTTGATTTAATTTCTTTTCTTGTAATATGAGCATGTGCTCTTTTTATCTATAAATACTAGAACTGTGAATGAGTGATTATCTCATTCAAGCCATTACACAATTCTCTCATTTTTCTTCTTTTTATATTTTTACTGATTCAAATAAGAGAGGAGAAGAAATTAAAAAGGGCAATTTTGTCTAAAAAAGTTGAGTTTTCAATATTCCATAAAAGTAGGAGACAATGCAATTAATGAGGTAAACCACAGCCAATGAAATCAGCGACTGAGAATGGACACTCGCTAAGGCGACTGTCCTTGGCATTCCTACCAGGATGACTTTCATGTTAGCTGCTGTTTGGTTTTCTTGTTAGCAAGACCCTAGTGCTAGGGTTCTTGTGTGTGCAGTGAGGGTATGCCCTCACTTATAGCCTTGTACTATATTGTTTTATTTATATAATTTTTTCTTCATTTCGGAAAAAAAAAAAAATTGAATTGAAAGGCAAACTTCTTATTTGCTGTAAAATAATTATGTGCAACTAATCCTCCAAACTCTAGCTATTACATGGCTTTATATAGAGTTTCTTCCTTCTAAATCTTAGCCCTAAGGCGACTGTCCTTAGCATTCCTACCAGGATGACTTTCATGTTAGCTGTTGTTTGGTTTTCTTGTTAGCAATACCCTAATGCTAGGGTTCTGGTGTGTGTAGTGAGGGTATGCCCTAACTTATAGCCTTGTTCTATATTGTTTTATTTATATAAATTTTTCTTCATTGAGGAAAAACAAAAAATTGAATTGAAAGGAAAACTTTTTATTTGCTGTAAAATAATTCTGTGGAACTAATCCTCCAAACTCTAGCTATTACAAGGCTTTATATAGAGTTTCTTCCTCCAAAATCTTAGCCTTATATTAGCTAACTACCAAATATATATTAAAATCCAAATAAGAAAGCTATTCATGATTCTAGCCTATCAATTCTCGGCTAACAAATTGGTATTCTAATAATCATATCCATATCTAGATTACTAAAAATAACCTTTTGCGGAATGCTATTTGATGAATTATGATAACTAGGAGTCCAAATAATTTTCTATACCATTATTTAAGCCCAGGACCAGGCTTGGTTGTCAAAACTATTATTAGGATTTATATTTTATCATAACAATTATTATGGAACAATGTACTGGTAAATGGTAGCATTGTACTATTTCATAAAGATGGTGGAAAAGAGCAGTTCCCTTTTTTTTTTTTTTTTTTTTCTCCTCTCCCTACCCATTCTCTTCTATCCCTGCCTCCATCTCTCTCTCTCTCTCTCTCTCTCTCTCTCTCTCTCTCTCTCTCTCTCTTCTCTATATATATATGTATAAATGAACGAATCTGTGTACACATGGTGTAAGAATAAATTAATCTTAGACTCATCAAGAACTTTTTGTCATCTTCCTTGACAATCCAGCCATTAGATTGGATTTCCTTATCATGTATATTATTTAATCCAAAATCATTTACAGCTGCCTCATTGACATCACGCTTTTAACTAGAATTATGCTATGATATTTTATTAAGAGAAATATAAGTTCTTGGATTGGTTTATTTACATCTGATTCTTGATATTTGGTTTGCACAATGAGCATTTTAAGGGTATATAATTTAGTAGTAGGATTCTCAAAAGGTGAAAGTTACAGAAAATTAATTAGGTGTAAGAATAAGTAATTGTACATCAGTTGTAAGTTGATTTTTCCCATACACAGTCACATATGCATTATTTCCTATTTTTCATATCTTTCTTTCTACTCACGAGATATGATTGTGCTCATTGAGCATGCACCACCTTAGAGTGATAAATAGGAAAAAATGGGATTGGATTTTAAAAGGCACATAATATTTACATTACGTTATTTTTCTTTTAGGGGAGGCGTTGGAGTGATGGACTTCACCAGGCAGTTGAAGCAAAAGAATGTTTGCCCATTCAAAATGAAACTGTGACCCTGGCTTCAATTAGCTATCAAAACTTTTTTCTCCAGGTGAGAGAGGCTTCTCAACTTTTTAGATGAACCATGGAAAATATTTCTCTGCTCTTTAAGTTTCTGATGCTTGGCTTCTTGCTCTGTTATAGTTCCCAAAACTTTGTGGCATGACTGGCACGGCAGCAACTGAGAGCACAGAATTTGAGAGTATATACAAGCTTAAAGTCACAATTGTACCTACGAACAAGCCCATGATAAGAAAGGTTCTATTGAGCATACCTGTCATTTGAAATGCTGCACGTCATGCTTACCTTTTTGCAACTCTGATCACCAATTCTGAACATGAAAGAAAGGAGAAAGCAAAGGAAACTTACTTTATGAGGACATTTAAGCATCTCTTTGTAATCTAGATTTTTTATGATATACGATGGTTAAACCCCCTTTGCATGCATACATGCATTTATACACATCCTTGTCCAGTTCCCGCCAGAGCCCCTTAATTCTTCAACTTCTTACCCAGGATGAGTCAGACGTGGTGTTCAGGGCTACTAAAGGAAAATGGCGAGCAGTCGTTGTAGAGATTTCTAGACTGCACAAAACAGGTCGCCCAGTGCTTGTTGGCACAACTAGCGTTGAGCAGAGTGATGCATTATCGGAACAGTTGCATGAAGCTGGAATTCCCCATGAGGTGATCTTTATTTTTTCTAAAGCAGAAGTTATATTAGTTGAAAAGATTTGAAGTTTGATTCACACTCCATGGATGACATTTTATATAAATTAGTCTCTCATCAGTATAATTTTTGTTATTAGCATAATGAAACATCCACATTAAGCAAGTGTTCCTTATTGTAAGGTTATAACTGTTATAATTTATATGAAGGTTCTCAATGCAAAACCAGAAAATGTGGAGAGAGAAGCTGAAATTGTGGCACAGAGTGGTCGTCTTGGAGCTGTTACAATCGCTACCAATATGGCAGGTCGTGGAACAGATATAATCCTTGGTGGCAATGCAGAATTTATGGCGAGGTTGAAGTTGCGTGAAATGCTGATGCCAAGGTATCATTTGAGCTTTGCAGTATTTGGTCAGTCTGTAGCCTGGACAGGCTCAATACAATCTGAGGCCTTAGATGAAACTGTAAATGAAGCATTTTACATTCACATGAATATAGGTTGGGACGCAGTCTTGTTCTAGGGTTTTATGATTACAATAATTAATCCCTGACTTTGTTGTTGCAAAAAATAAATAATTCATGGATTTTAGGTTGTTAAAATCATTTAGTTTGAATGGATTTCTAAACTAGTGTTAACAACTGTTAACTTCAAAGAATAAGAAAAGACGTGAAACAATAAAAGTAACTGAAGTAGAAAATTTTGATATTAATATTCTAATGGATCTAATACAAAAAAATTGAAAAAAAAAAGTGGACTAAATAAATAAATAGAAATCTGATACAATAGAAGAGTAGAAATAGAAACCAACAGGCGTGTGGCCTAGCGGTACAAGGCTCCTACTTTCTAAAGGGAGGTCAGGGGTTCAAACCTTAGTGGAGGCAGTGTGTGTGAGTCCCAATTAGGAAAAAAAAAAGAAAAAGAAGAGTAGATATAGAAGGGTATTGGTTCTATTACATTGTTTAACCATTTTTTATTGTGCCCACACCAAGAGAATTAAAAATAATTTAATAGGGGATACCTTTTTCAAGTGAGGTCTTATGCGAGTGCCTCAATAACCTACCCCTAGAGCAGGCCCTGTCTCTAGCAGTCGGTCATTACTTTGTAATCTCCAGTTTCACCATTTCACATGATTGCATTATATATTCACCTGGCCCTTCGCCCTTCTCAATGGAGAAAAAGAAAAACAAAAATTATCCTGGTTTCCATGATATTAAAATGCTTCCTCTTATTTACTTGTTCTGAGTATTTGGGTTGCCATCCTCTAGTATTATACTGTTTGTCATATAGGCGTCCTTTTTAGTTTCCTTAATGCTTAGCTAATATATATATATATATATATATATATATATATATCTATATCTATATATTCGAAGCATCAAGTTATACTTGCATCAGGAGGGAAGAAGCATTCCCACCACCCATGCTATATTCTTTTTTTGAAGCATGCCCACCACCCATGCTATATTCTTAGCAAACAACACTTTCATTGTTTGCCATATTCGCAACAAAAAAATAGGGAAGAGCATCTGCCGTTTTCTTTTTAATGCTAGTTATGCCTTTTCACAAGTGAATGGGATTGAGTTTGACTAAAATATTATAAATGCTGCAGAGTTGTAAAGCCAGCTGAAGGAATTTTTGTTTCTGTTAAGAAACCTCCTACAACAAAGACATGGAAGGTATTGTTTGATTTTGGTGAATGTAAATTTAGTACCAATTATAATGGTTGCTATGTTTCGCAATGTCGTCATTCTTTATCTCACTGTTACACAATCTTCTAGGTGAATGAGAGTTTATTTCCATGCACATTATCCAAAGTAAATACCAAATTGGCCGAGGAAGCGGTACAATTAGCTGTCAAAACATGGGGTCAAAGATCGTTAACTGAGCTTGAAGTTGAGGAGCGACTATCTTATTCTTGTGAAAAGGTGAAATTCATATTTAAGATACAGATACTTTCTCTGCGGATGAATATTAATAGACATATAAGAAGTGACATGAGTAAAGGATACTATTTCATTACAGGATATGATATATTCCTTGGTTGTAGTGACATATATGCGTAAATATATGTATATACTATATAGGGATGTTAGCTGTTCTTATTTGGGAGTTACACCATTTATATACTACTAAATATTTATCAATGTTTTTATAAATTTGTAGGGTCCCGTTCAGGAGGAAGTAATAGCCAACCTGCGAAGTGCCTTTTTAGAAATTGTTAAAGAATATAAGGTTTACACCGAGGAGGAAAGGATGAAGGTAAGCCATTCTAAAATTTGTTCCTAGTGAATTGTTGTACATTATTATTAACTGCAAACTTTTTTGGGCAAAGTGAAAAGTTAGCAACAGGAAAGAAGGGGGATATATGAAATTCCATTAGTCTTACTTTTGCAGAAAATATTTTTAGATGGGTCTTATGAAGCCAACAGGTATATACACTATTTGTGTGATCAAATAACTTAAAGTCATGCCATAATCAAATAAAACACCTAGCTTATAGTACTTATGGGAGTCATTAGTTCCCCGTCGTGTAACTCAAGTGTATGAAATGACTTTGATTTTATAATTAGTTTATTGGGTGTTCTGAATAATGGGAAGCCAAATAGAGATTTTAGAGAAGGAATGTTCAAATGGGATAAACAGAGTTTTCATATCGAGCTTGAATTATAATACATTTGAAATGTTAAATGGGATTCATATGATTGTTGGACCTAGTCCCTTGTTTTCCATTGAGAAGCTAATAGAACCTATTTGAATTTGTTTTTAATTATTTAGAACTAATTTAGAGTTCAAAAATTCTCATTTCTTAGATGGGATTGACTTTTTGTGAGGACCCTTTAATGAATCTAACCAATTTTTATTTTAATTAATTTAATTTAAACTTTTAATTCCCCATTGATGTAGGTTGTCTTAGCAGGTGGACTTCACGTGGTGGGGACTGAACGACACGAATCACGTCGAATCGATAATCAGGTTTAAGTTTCACATTCTAATTTAAGTTGGCGAGTTCAAACCTATTTATTTTAACAAAACATGTTCTTTTTCACATTTTCTCCCCCTCCCTCTTTTCTTAACCTTCCTATCAATGTAAAAAATGCTTGACCCAGATGAATTGAAATTAATCTTGAAATTGTATTGTATAGCTGCGTGGTCGAAGTGGCAGGCAAGGGGATCCCGGAAGCTCCCGCTTCTTCCTTAGTCTTGAAGATAATATCTTTCGGATTTTTGGAGGGAACCGCATTCAGGTTTGATTTGTGGACTAAGGGTCTACGTGTTTATACTGCTATACAATCTTCTTGTTAAGTTTATACTGCTTTACGATCTTCTTGTTAAAATTCTTATCACTATGAATTGTAGGGTTTGATGAGAGCTTTTAGAGTTGAAGACTTACCAATTGAGTCGAAGATGCTGACAAAAGCACTCGATGAAGCTCAGCGTAAAGTGGAGAATTACTTTTTTGATATTCGGAAACAATTGTTTGAGTATGATGATGTTTTAAACAGCCAAAGAGACCGTGTATATACAGAGAGAAGGCGAGCCCTTGTATCTGATGATCTCCAATCTCTCATTATTGAATATGCAGAACTGACAATGGGTGACATCTTAGAGGTAAACAACATCTGTTCTGGTAACTTCATAAGCTGATTCCGTTCTATATTTTGTTATGTGTCAAGTCCTGGCATATTCTTAGATTTTTATTAATAATATGAATAGGCAAATATTGGGTCTGATGCTCCAAAGGAAAGCTGGGACCTCGAAAAGCTCATCGCAAAACTCCAACAGTAAGAATCATCCTCTATCTGAGTGTACGTGGCACTTAAAAATCTAAAGATATGTCAAAATTGAAGCACTAATTACCTGTGAAATGAGAGGAGGATGAATTATTCTGCTCTGGATTTTCACATGTGGGTCCAGCACAGATAGATTGAGGCTTTTGGCATTCTGGCTTCTACTAATAATTCATTTGATTTTTTGATTCAAAAGTTTCACCTGATCTGATCATTGTCAACGTCAGATTTTAAAAATCCTTCTTATGAATGATTTTAATGCCTTTAAACTGTACGATTTTCTGAAATATTTTTTCTGACAAACTCCTACATATTACTTTGTGTAGGTACTGCTATCTGCTGAATGATTTGACCCCGGATTTGGTTGTGAGCAATTGTTCAAGTTATGATGAACTGCGGGATTACCTTCACATTCGTGGTCGCGAAGCATATTTGCAGAAAAGGGTCAGTCTTTTTTTTTTTTTTGGTGAATCCTATAAATACACGAGTAAATGCTACAACATTCCCCTTAAGTGACCATTTGCATCAACTTCCGGATGCTTCGAGAAATGGGCAAGGGGTGCTGCATTGGCGCCCAGGTGCGGTAAAAAATCGGCAAGGATTCTCGCGTTTTTCTGAACGACCTCGGGTAAAGAAGTTAGCCCAGGATAGGGACCTGAAACATAGGAACTTTGATGGGTAAAGGAGTGGAGTTAGTAGACACTATGATTAGAAGGAAGATCAATATTTTGTGTCCACAAGAACTAAGTGGGTAGGTGCAAAAACTAGAGAGATTGAAGGATATAAATTATGTTATACCAGAAAGAATAGACATAGAAATGGAGTAGGGATATCATCGATAAGAATTTAACAGAAGATGTGGTAACTTTCATTAGAAAAGGAGATAGGATAATATTAGTAAAAACTCGTATTAGGAGGAAATAGAGTTAATATAGTTAGCGTGTATGCACGCCAAGTAGGACTAGATGTCAATATTTAAACAAAATTTTGGGAGCATATAGATGAATTGATGCAAGGGATACCCGAAGGAGAAAAAGTGTATATATGAGGAGACTTTAATGGTCATGTTGGAAAAGTGTGGAGGATATGAGATGGTACACAGCGGACATGGACTTGGAGATAGAAATGATGCCGGAGAGACTATCTTAGATTTTGCTTTAGCATATGATCTTATAATTAGGAATACCTATTCTATAAAGAGAGATGAACACTTAATAACCTTTAAAAGTGGGTAAAATATGAGTCAAATTGATTACTTTTTAACTAGAAGGTAGATAGATTAACAAGCAAAAATTTCTTGTTTTAGATTTTTGTATAAAAGGACAACCTAAAAGGAGAAAGAGAACCATAAACCTAAGGACTAGGTGGTGGAATTTTAGAGGGGAGAAAGTAGAATTATTTAAAAATAGGATGTTAAAAGAAGCAACATGGAATGTAGAAGATGAAACAAACTTAATGTGGAATAAGATGAATATATATATATATTAAAAGGGTAGCAAAAAAAGTCCTAGGGGAATCACAAGGAATGGGACCAAAAAAAGTTGTAAAAACAAAACGGGAATGCTATGAAGTTTGACAAAACACTAAAAATAGTGAAACCTTTGACATATATATATTTTTTGATAAGTAAAATGTATTAGAAAGCGTTCAAAAAGGGAACGCATCCCGAGATATACACAAAAAGAATCTATGAACTCAAAGAACCCAAAAAGTCCACAATGTCCTCTAAAGAAGAATAATCCCTCCCCCAACCCCAACAAAAAAGGGTACAAATAATAGAAAATTTCAGCTCTCCAATAGAGGACTCCTTCCCATCAAAAGATCTTCTGTTCCGCTCTTTCCAAAGATTCCACCAAACGCAAAGAGGGGTCACCCTCCAGAAGTCTCTAGCCTGAGCCCCCATCCATTGCCCCTCCAGATATCTAGCAATCCTCTAGAAGTCTGAGGCATGACCCAATGGATGCCAAACAAACCAAGCAAAAGACTCCAACATTCATAAGCAACAGGACAATGCAACAGAAGGTGATCCACGGACTCCCCAAAACACTTGCAAAGACAACACCGGTTAACAATGATATGTCTTCTCTTCCGTAAATTGTCCAAAGTTAGAATCTTACTCCAAGCTGCAGTCCACACAAAAAAGGCCACCCTAAGGGGCGCCTTAGAGAGCCACACCATCTTCCACGGGAAGGGCAACCCATGAAACCCAGAGAGGCGCACAAAGAATGACCAGACCTGGAACGTCCCATTAGAAGAAGGCACCCAAAACAAGGAATCCACACCAGTGCCATCCAATTCTTGTCTATACAAAAGGGCCAACAAGCCAGTGACATCATCCAACTCCTAATCCTGAAAAGGTCGCCTGAATCGCACATCCCAAGACAACGTCTCGCTATCAAAACGATAGCAGTCAGCAACCATAGCATGTTTGTCAACAGCAATTCTAAACAATCTTGGAAACAACAGAGCCAAAGGCCTATCTTCATACCAGGAATCCTCCCAAAACCTGACAAATCTTCCATTCCGAACTCTGAATCTAATGTGTTTGGAGAATTCATCCCACCCCTTCCCAATGGACCTCCACACCCCCACACCATAAGCAGCCCAAACAGGCCTAGCTGACCACCCCCCTCTCTCCTCCCCAAAACGACAAGAAATGACCTTTCTCCATAATCTATGTCTTTCACTGCCGAACCTCCAAAGCCACTTGCCTAGAAGAGCATTATTAAAAGGGGCCAGTCTTCTAATTCCGAGACCACCAAGCTGAAGAGGCTTGCAAACCTGATCCCATTTGACAAGATGATATTTAAACTCCTCCCCACGACCCCCCCAAAGGAAATTCCGTTGGAGCATCTCCAGTCTTCCCACAATAGAGGCTGGAATCCTAAAAAGCGAGAGAAAGTATGTTGGAAGGCTTGACAAAACACTCTTCACTAACGTGACTTTTCCACCCTTGGAGAGATATTGCTTTTTCCAACCAGCCAATCTTCTCTCGACCCGCTCAATCACCGGGTCCCAACTTCCCACCCTCCTTGCCGAGTCCCCCAGCGGTAGACCCAAATAAGAAATAGGGAAGCGTCGCGTCCCACAGCCTAAAGCAGCAGCCAGAGAATCCACATCCTGCACCTCCCTCACAAGGACAAGCACACTTTTACCCACATTGACTTTCAGACTAGAGACAGCCTGAAAACAAACCAAAACATATCTCAAATACTGCAACTGGGACACCTCTGCCTCACAGAAAACAATAGTATCATCCGCAAAAAGAAGGTGAGAAATCTCCATCTGCTAAACCGATTCAGGGCTGAGCTTGAAACCCCTAATAAACCCCAAATCCACAGTCCTTCTCATCAGCCTACTAAGGGCCTCCATAACAATAATATACAAAAATGGGGAAAGCGGGTCCCCCTGCCTCAGACCTCGAGAACTACCAAAGAATCCCGTAGGAGACCCATTAACCAAAATCGAAAATCTGGCAATGGAAACACATGTAGTAATCCATTTCCTCCATTTCGCACCAAAACCCATCCTCTCCAACAGATACAACAGGAAATTCCAACTGACATGATCGTAGGCTTTTTCGATATCCAGCTTACAAAGAACACCAGGAACACCACTACAAAGTCTAGAATCCACGCATTCACTGGCAATGAGAGCCGAGTCCAGAATATGTCTACCCCCAATAAAGGCATTCTGAGACTCAGAAACAATTCCATCAGGCACCTCCCTCAGCCTAAGCGCAAGGACTTTCGCAATGATCTTATAGATACGCCCAATCAACTAATTGGTCTAAAGTCCTTGACATTAGAAGCACCACCCTTCTTAGGAATAAGGGCAATAAAGGATGCCTTCAGTGATTTCTCAAATCTCCCCGTGGAATGAAACTCATGAAAAGTGCTCATAATCTCAAGCCTAAGCACCTCCCAACTTTCCAGCAAAAATCTCATAGTAAAACCATCGGGGCCTGGAGCCTTATCGCCATTACAACTCTTGAGAGCCTTCAGCACCTCCTCCTCCGAAAAAGGAACCTCTAGCCCATCCCTTTCCAAAACAGAAATAGAGTCAAAATGAAGGTCATCAAGCCTTGGCCTCCATCAAAGAGGCTCAGAATAAAGCCTTTGGTAGAAAGAGACAATACCATTTCGCACCTCTCCTCTGTAGACTAGACCGTCCACACACAGTCGCCCAATATGGTTGCCCCTCCTATGAGCATTAGCAGTTCTATGAAAAAACTTGGTATTACGATCCCCCTCTTTGAGCCATAACATAAAGCATATGTCGATTTCAATTCTAAACTAGGCACAAGGCAGAAGAATATATATAACCTTGCTAAGCTAAGGGAGAGGAAAACTAGAGCTTTTAGCCATACTAAATGTATTAAGAGTGAAGATTCACGGCTTCTAGTAAAAGACGTTGAAATTAAAGAAAAATGGAACAGTTATTTTGAGAAATTGCTAAATGAAAACCATATATGAAGTCTAGGCTGAGAAGAATATGTTAGAGAGAACATATTTTCCGTAGGGTCTGGGAGTGGGAGTTTAGGAATGCCTTAAGGAAGATGAAATCAGGGAGTGCTTTAGGGCCCGATGGCATTCCTATTGAGATGTGGAAGTGTCTTGGAGAAGTTGGATTGTCTTGGTTAACAAAATTGTTTAAAAATATAATAACAACTAAGAAGATGCTGGATGAGTGGTGCCAAAGTATCTAGTATCTATATATAAAAATAAGGGGGATGTACAAAGTTGTGATAATCACTGTGGTATTAAATTAATGAGTCACATTATGAAACTTTGGGAGAGAGTGATTCAACAACGCTTAAGACGAGAGACGGAAGTGTTCGAAAATCAATTTGGATTCTTGCCATGTAGGTCACGATGGAGGCTATCAACTTATTAAGGAGACTAATGGAAAGATATAGAGTGAAAAAGAACAGTGGCAACAACCTTTTAAAGTGTAAAAAAGGCGTGGCAAGGAGGGTTGCAAGGCTCAAGCGTTAATTTGGCACATGCTAGACGATTTGGGGTTGGGGGGGTGGGGGTGTCCACTTGGAGTCTTGCATAATTAGGGGATTTGGTCAAATTGTATCAATTATGGTGAAATTGCATAGTTATGGTAAATTGCATCAATCAAGTTTTTTGTTACTTTTATTATGCTAGAGTCAACTATTGATTACCTCAATTATGGGGTAATCCAATGGTCGTCCGTTGTTATAAAAAAGATAGCATGTGTGGAAAAACAAATCACCAGAAAATATGGGATTCTAGGCGCGGTTGACCCCAGGATTCGGATCCAATTTATTCAGAATTATTCCCTTAATCAATTGGAATGATTCCTTCCCATTTTAGTCTCTGATTCCAGCTATTTGTAGAGCTGTAAATCTTTGACTTTGTACATTTATTTCTTTCCTTATTTATAGCCTAGAGTGTAGCTGTCTTTCTTGTATA